ATTTGTACATTTGTTACCATCATCATTCTCAAAACATTTGCTTTCTACTTGAGCCTTTGGTATCAGCTCCTCATTTTTCCCCTTCTTCCCTCCCCACCCTCCCTCTCTCCCTCACGCACCCTTGATGATTTATAAATTATTATTTTTTCGTGTCTTAGACTGTCCGATGTCTCCCTTCACCCACTTTTCTGTTGTCTGTTCCTCCAGGGAGGGGGTTATATATAGATCATTGTGATCAGTTCCCCCTTTCTGAAATAATTTTTTACTAACAAAGTTTTAGTTTTTTTCACCCCAAACGCAATGACTTCTCACTTCTCTGTCACCCACACCAGCCCTTGATAACCACTAATTAATTTCTGTCTCTATGAACTTGCCTATTGTAGATATATACCCTTTATTTTAGGTAAAGGGTCCGTGCAATCTTTGCTCTTCTGTGTCTGAGTTCCTTAGCTGAGCATACGCTAGGTAACCAAACATCATCCTTTTGTGGCAGAATAATATTCCATTGTATGTTCATGTCCCCTTTTGTTTATTTATCTAGTCATTTGTTCACCTGTCTTTGGGTTGTTTCCAACCCAGCCCTGGCTGGCAAATTGATTGTGACTCATAGCAACTCTATGTGGGGTCTCCAAGGTTGTCAATCTTACATGAGCAGAAAGCATCATCTCTCGCCCACCCCAAACTCAAACTCACTGCCATTGAATCGATTCTGACTTACAGAAACCCTATGGGACAGGATAGAATTGCTCTGAAACTAAAGGACTAACTGGAGTAGAAAGCCTGTCGTTCTGCCACAGAGTGGTTGGTGCTTTTGAATTACTTACCTTGGGGTTAGTAGCCCAGCATTTACCTGATTACCTGACAGCATACCAGTAAGATGAAACGTATAAAATTTCTGTCCTCATCTCATCTATGGACATTATCTTTTTTCATGCGAATTTTAATCCATCTACTTTCTAGTTTCAATTAAGTGAAATTATAATTGGAGTAAGATTTCAATCGCAAAGTAACAAAAAATTTATAATAATTTTGTTTAGATTGAGATAGGCACAAAATATATTTTTCTTAATTTTGTTTAGATTTTATACAAGAATTATGAAAACAACAGCCAAACCAATTGCCGTAGAGCCATGGTTCTCAACCTGTGGGTCGCAATCCCTTTGGAGGTTGAATGACTCTTTCACAGGAGTCGCCCAATTCATAACAGTAGCAAAATGACAGTTATGAAGTGGCAACGAAAAAAATTTTATGGTGGGGGGGGGGTCACCACAACCTGAGGAGCTGTATTCAAGGGTCCGCGGCATTGGGATGGTTGAGAACCACTGCCATAGAGTCCACTTCAGCTCACAGCAGTCTTATCCAACAGAATGGTATTGCCTCAGAGGGTTTTTCTTCCTCCCTTCCTTCAGGCCCAGGTTGATTAGCCTGTTGTGTAGGTTGCTTCTGTGGAGTGGGGACAGGAGGGGAGAGAAGCAGATAAGCACATCTCTCTCCTGCAGAGCAGCTGGGGGTTCAAACGGCTGGCCCTTTGGTGAGCAGCCAAACACAACCACTGCACTACCAGGGCTCATTGTAAAAGAACCAATTAAGAGCATTTCTGGTTGTAAACATATATATGTTTGTCACGTTCTTAAATAACCTCAAAATGACAAATGTATCGAATGGTTAATGATACAAATTAGAGAAAAATTGAAGACTTTATGACAATTGCTGTGAAAAGGCAATTCTACTTTTGCTTCCCGGACTTATCTTGATAAGCAATTCTCCCGGTTACAATAGAGCTGCACCATCGAGTCTCCGAGGTGGTAAATGTTTACAGAAGCAGACTAGCATTTCTTCTCCCATGGAGTGCCTGCCAGGTTCAAATCTGTCGTCTACTCCTCTTGAGATAATGAGGATCAATTCTGACTCATAGGGATCCCATAGGACAGAGTAGAACTGCCCCTGTAGATTTCTGAGTCTGTAAATCTCTCAGAAGCAGAAAGCTTTGTCTTTCTCCCATAGAGCCCCTGGTGGGTTTGAACTGCTAACCTTGTGGGTACTAATCCACATGAAACCTACCACACCAACAAGTTCATCGTCTACCAAGCAAAGTGCTACTCACATGGGGTCACCGTGAGTTGGAATTGGCTAGTTGTCAACTGGTTAACTAGTAACATCAGTGACTTCTTAACTTGGTTATATCAGCGTGAGACAAAAGATGGTTATGCAGGCAAGTTAGGGAGCGTGTAAATATGAGTGCTGAGTGTTTCTCTCCGTTTTCCCCTTAAGTAAAATTCACTCTTAGTCTTTTTTAACTCATAGCACCGCTAAGCTGTCTTACAGGCTTGTTAGAAGTCAGAATGGACTCCAGGGAAGCTCAAGTTGGCCTTTTTATTTCCTTGGCAAAGACAAGAAACCTTTGTTGTTTGTTTCATTGCTTTTGGGACACCCTCTGCTTATTTCCACATACCTTTTAAGTTGCTGTTTCGTGGGGGTGGAGGTGTGGATATTATTGAAATGAAAGGAATTATTTTTACTTAGATACAAATGCTGCTTTTCATTTGAATTAACAAGGAAGCCATGTTCCTCCGTCTTCTTGTAAAACAAGATCTGGAGACGTTTTACACTCTATCCAACACTTCTCTTCATTGGCGAAAGGAAATTTGTAATGAACATAAGACAAACAGGAAAAATTCCTTAAAACAGATGAAGTCATTTATCTGTATAATAATGCTAACATATATTTATTTCTTCCAATTGGATTAATTATATTAATATAACCTTATAGCATATGTATGTATTTATATAAAATCTTTTCTGCAGATGCTAATTTGGTTTAGAACTGGAATACTTGGATAGTACCCTTTTTTTTAAATGCCTGTTTTTTGTATCCTGACAAACTGAAAATTTATGTTTGATTTATACATTAGTCTGTTTAAGGAATATGGAGTGTACGCTAAAAACTAATTTAGATTGCTTAGCATTGAATGGACTATGTAAGTAGAATCTATGCTCATATGATGACTATCCGGGCACAACACAAGCTGTGGAGTTGGACAAGACTTAGTTGAATCCCAACTTTTCACATATTAGCTGTGTAACTATGGACAAGTTCCTTAATCTCTTTGAACCTTAGTTCATTCAGAGGTGATAGCTTACCTTGTAAAATTGTGAGACTTAGAAGTGATGTGGCTGTTGTCATTAGGTACCATTGAGTCAGTTCTGACTCACAGCAACCCTCTATGAACAGAAAAAATGTCTGCCTAGCCCTGTGCCATTCCCACAACTATTCTTGTGTCTGAGTCCACTGGTGTAGCCTCTGAGTCAGTCCACTCCTTGAGGGTCACCCTCTGTTTTCTGACTATCTTCGTCACCACACATGATGTCCTTCCCTAGGGAGCACTCCCTTCTGAGAACATGTCTGGAAGAGTCCGTTGAATTCTGGCCATCCTCTCTTCGAAAGAACATCCCAGCTGTACTTACTGGTTTATTAAAAGCTCACCTTAGTGCCTAACTCATACCACTCCATAAATATTAGCTCAAGTGAAGTAGATATGTTTTTGCTTAATAAAACAACACATATTTTCATCACTTAGAAGTATATGCATCATTTTTGGACAATAGCATCTTAATATGTTTGAGTGATCACTGTCTAATTTTATTTATGTATAGACATCTAACAGGAGTCTCCTTTTTAAAAAAAAAATTCAGTTTGTTTTTCAAATCTAATGATCAAGTGGTTGTCAGGCATTTGGAGGACAAGCTCATTTCTACCCTGGTCAGTTAGTTCATTATTGTGAGTGTGAACAAAGGATGCACAATTCAGCCAGCAGTTCACATGGATGGTGGAGGTGATAATAGCTTCATTCCTCAGGATCCTTTTTTGTCTTTGCTCTGGCGAGTTCATACTGACCTTGTCCAAAATCTGATGACCTCCCTATTTGCTCAACTATTTGGAAAGCTAGGCCTGCCATAGCTGGCCCTGAGGGGGTATCTGAGAGACCACTGAGCCACTGACCCATGTCAAGACTGGATTTCCAGTCTGATATACAGGGCCTCTGAAATAGTTAAACATGGGGTTTATTGAACACAAAAGACTAGCCGTCTGCATTTTTTCTGCTTATTATATGTGCTACTCAAGTTTATTTTAAATGCCCTTATTAAGGTAATGTATTTAATTTATTCTGTTTCTTATGTAGACTAATTATACATCAATTTTGAGAGTGAGTCCTTCAAATTTGAATATTTTGAATGTGAGAAAATGCATTATTAACCATAGTTATATATAATGAATTCCCTTTCCGGTGTATGAAGGGAGCAAGGCAGTGACATTATAATGCTTACATTATAAAGATTTTTGTGTTTTTCTAGGGAAAAAAATTCCATGTACCTCATTAAAAATCTGTTTTTCCCTGACATTACTAACAGCATGACAATCTCTGTTTACATCTTGTCAAACTTCCTAATATTATTTGACTCATTTAAGCATTTTGAGGTTGTGAATTGTATCCGGAAAGAGAGTCAGTAGCCAACCAGTTAAATATTAATCTGTTTTGGTTGTATTGTATCTATCTATCTTAATAAAATTTCCTGTTAGAACTATGAAATGAAAAGTGAAGAAACATTTTCCCATGCTTATTTTGTTGTTCTTCTGCATTTGGGAATGATCAGACCCCCTTTCTAAGTATCTATCCAATATCCCACAATTTATAACATGTTGTCATCTTTTATTTTTATATAGGAATTGATCCCTGAATTTTATTATCTCCCTGAGATGTTTGTCAACTTCAATAATTATAATCTTGGAGTGATGGATGATGGGACAGTAGTGTCTGATGTGGAACTTCCTCCTTGGGCCAAAACCTCAGAAGAATTTGTTCGCATAAACAGATTGGTAAGATAGCAGTCCTGCACTCTGTCTGTCAGGAGTACACTCTCAGCGCATCTTTCATGTGGTGGTGCTTAGTCATTAACCCTTGCTCTCCTGGACAAAGATGTTGTTGATATGGTAACTGAAAGTGACATAGCAGTTCATGAATCTCGGTGTCTACTTTCATTGTAAAATTGACACAATTGAAAGGTAAAGGGTTTTTCGTTTCTGTCTTATGCAAAATTTAGCCTTCTTTTGTGTATACATGATCATTCCGTGTCATATCTTACCAAGGAAATTAGAATTGCTTTGTTCAAACATGGGTTTCGCTTTCTGAGGAAGAAACTGATAGTGAGGGTAAGTAAACACATATTGTTAGTAGGTTATCGGTTCGTACATGCGTACTGTTACTCCATACGTGCCTCTGCAACCCGGGGATGACTGGCAGACCGGTTCTCTCAGTACTGCTCTTGTCTGCGCCTCAGTACCAACCCTTCAAAGAAAGGATACTTTTTGTGCTCGGGGAAAATATGGTTGTGAGGTCAAGGTTAATTTCAAATTCTTTGAGAATCTCAAGTGCACATCTTCCCAAATCACTGAAGTTTTGAAGCATGTGCATGGGGATGCTGCCCCACCTAAAATGATTTTTAGATGGATCAGGCATTTTAAAGAAGACCTCAAAAATGAATTCAAGGTAGAGCAGTCAATTTAGGAGGTTATAGTAACCGTCTGTTGTTATTCCAATGGAGTGATCATAATAGATTTTCTCAAAAGATGCAGGACGATCACAGGGGCCTGTTTTGAAGAAGTTTTTAGAAAACAGAAAGCTGCATTGGTGAGGAACAAGCCCAGGACAGTTGCACAGAGGAATTTTTCTGGTCACAACAATCTTCTTGCTCATTCTTCAAAGGTGGCGGCTGACACCTGGACATTTTCCTTGGGAAACCTTACCCCAGTCGCCTACAGTCTTGATATTGCCCCTTCCGATTTCTTTTTGTTTTGAAAACTCAAAGAACATAGAAAAGGCTACCGGTAGAGTTGCTCGCAGATGTCCACCTGTCATTCTGATGTGCCATAAGTCCAAGTGCAGTGTTCTTCAGGGAAGGGTTAGAGAGATGGGAACGCAAGTATATGGAAATGATAGCTTCACATTTTGATATTTTTGTTTAATAAGGATTTCTATGGTTTTTGTTGCAATCCCTTTTGACTTAACCCACAGATATGCTCCAGTTTGAAAGACTGTTGCACATTTTGGTAGCAAACAGGATTTTATAATTAAATTCTGTATCTTTTGGAGGAAAGGTTCACTTAATAATTTGAACATGAAAACTTAAAAATTGTATAGGGAAATTAAGAAAACAGGAGCACAGTAATGATAATGGTGGGCTCTTCAGTTCTCTCTGTGACATGGATTCTGTAATATGTTGTACTCTATAAAGAACAGCACACTTTTAAGTTTCATAGATGTTTGGATTTGGAGTTTTCCTCTCAGTACTTAAAAGTATATTTTTACTATGTTCCATTTATAAAATGAAATATATATTTATTTGAAAAAGTTTACAGTTACATAAGGAAATTTGCTGCATGCTGGTGTTCTGAATCATTCTTTTAGTTTTAAATTACCTTTCACGCTAATTTAATTTAACCTTCTAGACCCTGGCTACAATCTCATTATTACTGAATTTCATTTATCCTGAAAGTACTTCAGGGAAGTGCAAAGCAGACAGGTTCTGGAAGTAGGCCACATTGCCCAATCCTGGATCAGTCATATTCCTGGTGGACTGTACGCAGTATAACCTTCCCAAGTCTTATTTTCCTCATTTTTAATTTGTAAATTGTGAGTGTGAAATTGTGATTATGTACAGAAAATACCTAGAACATTGTCTGACTTACAGTAGGCAGATGGTTTCTATTATTTTGTCAGTCTTCATGGTATTTTGCATTTCACTTTACCCTGAGAATTTTCAAAGATTCTCAGTAAGTGTCTTCAATTAAAATAAGAAGAATCCCAAATGGAAAGTTAACCTTGAAAAATGTTGAAGGCGAAGTCAAACTTTTAAATGTGTTTTCCCCACTCCCTAAGGCTACATTGAAGTGAACAGAGGGTTCACTTATTATTCAACAATTTTGGATTTGCTTCCATTGATTGTCTATATTTTTAAAACAGTTTTATTGGCACTTAGTCCACATATCTCACAATTTAGTAGTTCAGTCATATCAAGAAGAGATGTACAATCACCACCCCAATCAATTTTAGAACATCCTCCCCACTTCCTGAGTTAAATCACTTTTAAAATGAGTTATGTAATCACCATCAGTTCTACTGCTCCCTCCCCATGTCTACATTTTTTAAAGCTTTGTTTCTTAAAGATTAATTTATATATGCTTTATGAAGCGTCAATTTAACAGTTTTTAATGAACTTATACAGTTGTGTAGCCATCCCCATAACCCAGTGTTAGAACACTTACCTCACTCTAAATGCCTCCCGGAGCCTGTTTACAGCCAGCCTCTGCTCGCCCTCCCAGACACAGGCCACGCCTGGTTCTTTCTCTAATATTTTGCCTTCTTATGTATGACATATAGTTTCTTTTGTTCCTGACCTCTTTCATATTGCATACTGATTTGGAGAATCACCCATGTTGCATTTATCAGTAGTTCGTTTCCTTGAGTTGCTCCATAATATTTGATGGTATGAATGTACCATATTTTATCTCTATATTAATTGATGTTTTCACTTCGTGGTTATTAGGAACATTTGCATACAGGTCTTTGCCAGGACATCTGTTTTTTTCCTTGGTGTATATTCCTAGTTCATGTGGTAAGAATATATTTACTGTACCTTTGCGTTCCCACCAACAATGTATGAGGGTTCACCTTGTCTCTTCTTGGTGTTGTCAGCCGTACCAGACTAGGAGGTATCTGAAGGAGCCCTGGTGCCACTGTTGAGTGTGTGTTGCACCTCCGACTGCCATGTCAGTGATTGAAACCTACTGACCACTCCTGGGGAAAACCATGGGGCTGTCTTTTGCCACAAAGATTTAGAGCCTTGGAAATCCTCTATAGCAGTGGTTCTCAACCTTCCTAATGCCTCGGTCTTTAATACAGTTCCTCATGTTGTAGTGACCCCCCAACCATAAAATTATTTTCATTGCTACTTCATAACTTATTTTGCTACTGTTATGAATCGGGCAACCCCTGTGTAAAGGTCGTTCAACCCCCAAAGGGTCGCAACCCACAGGTTGGAGAACCGCTGCTCTATACGGTATCCACAAATCAGAATTGACTCAAATAGAGTGGTTTGATTGGTGTTCATCAATATCTAAATGACAGGAGCCCTGGGGGTGTTGTGGGTGAGGTGTTAGGCTGCTAACTGCGAGGTCAGCAGTTTGAACCCATCGGCTGCTCTTCAGGGGAAAGCTGGGACTTCTCTGCTTCAGTAAGGATTTCCAGCCTTGGAAACCCAAATGGGCAGTAATACCTGTCAGCTAAGGTCACTATGAGTCAGAATTGACTGGATGGCAGTAAGTTTGTTTAATGACTATTGATAAGGGTCCCTGCTGGAACAGTAAGAGCTTGGCCTGGCACCTGCAGATTAGTCCAGCAGTAGCCGAAACCCCCCAGCTCCTCGATGGGAGAAGGATGTGGCAGTCTGCCTCTAGAAAGATTTATAACCTTGAGAACCCTGTGCGGCACTTCTACCCTACCCTTGAGGGCCCTTGTAAGCTGGAGTTGATTCCAAGGTAACAGATTTCCTTCAAATGACTGATGATGGTGAGCGTCTTCCCACAGGCTGGTTTGCTATTTATATATGTCTTTTAATGAAGCACCTATTCAAATCTTTTGCCCCTATTTGAATTGGGCTTGTTTGTCTTTTCTTACTGAGTTGTAAGAGTTCTTGACGATCTTTCAATAAAAGCTCTTCATCTAGCAGATGTTTTTCTTCTGATCTGTGGCTTGTCCTTCCATTCTTCGTTGGTGCCACTGGACTCCCCTCTTGTAGCGGGCACAGGATGGGTTGCTGAGTGCAGGTAGCAGGTAGAGTCCACCAGTTGCTCTGAGGGAGCAAGATGAGGCTCTCTGCTGTGTACCCCTCCACGGTATGGAAGGGACCAGTCTGCTCTGTGGCAGCAGAATGCCGAGACGTAATCAGCTCGATGGCAGCGGGTTTGAGGTTTGAATCACTAGCTTTATAAAAGATGTTTGTAGTTATGATTGATTGTACAACGCTTCGTGACATGATTGAACTATTGAATGGTATGATACATGGATGAATGCCAAGAAAACGATTTTGAACGTTGTAATGAAGAATTCAACCAAACCCACTGCCATGGAATAGATTCCAACTTACAGCGATTTTCTAGGACAGCGGAGAATTGCTCCATAGGGTTTCTAACACTGCGACTCTTTATGAAATAAGACTGCCTCATCTTTTTCCCTCGGGGCAACTAGTGGCTTCAAACTGCCACCCTATTGGTTAGCAGCCTGACACTTAATCCACTGTGCCACCATCTCTCCTTTACTAAGTCCTAGGTTGAACTGAAAGAATCAACCTCATTTCTGAGGAATGAATTATTAAGAGAAAGATTACAATCATTTTGTTATTTGAACACTATTTCCCAAATATAACTTCAAAGCAGCTCTCTGTTAATTGTTAGCATAGTGAGTATTATCAGAAGTCCAAAGAAGCTTGTTACTATGATTCACTTAAAATAACTTTCTGAAGCAGAGACGCTTGAATAGTTCCTCCCCACCCCCCACTAATATATTGACAATTTACTTGCATAAATGTTTGCAAGCCACCGCCTGCTAGTACTTCTCTCCACACCCCCGGCCTTCACCTTTGAAAAGCCTGGTCTGTTGGGCTGTGTTGGGCTGGGTTTGCTAAGGACCTCATGGATAAGAAGGTGCCAGATTGTTTTCCATCAAACTTGGCCTTTTGGCTGCCTGTGCACTAAACTTAGTGACTCTGAGATTGTATGCAAAACAATTCTGATTCAGTAAGCTTAGCATTCTCCCAGTGACT